ATGCTACTAGTAGCGATGCCAGGAGCCCCTAGTAGCGTCCTTGCTTCTAGTAGTAAGGCCAGGAGCCCCTAGTAGCTTGTTCCTAGGTGCATGCGCGCGTCGCCTTAGTCGCTGAAAATCCATGAAAATGCGCGTGCATCGCTCCACGTCAGCTCGACGGCACCTGGTCGAGGGCTTGCAGCGGATCATGGTCCTGCAGAGCATCGCCAGCGTCTCGGAACAGAAGATCGATGCCTTGGAGCCTCAGGAGACTTTCGCTGAGAGAGGGGGGCGAACCTTGGGGGATGAAAGGATCTGCTTTATCCTGCTTTCAGGGTGAGGGATGTGAGGGTCTTTTCGCATCTTTTCGCTGTGTTCGGCTGGAAGTGTCTTGGCAAAGCTCTTGCAAGGCTAGGACTAGGAGTTTCAGATGGTTTTGTTGGGGGCTTGCGCTCAAGTACAAAGTAGAGTGATCAGACATCCGCACAGGTCATCTCACACGTCAACCACACATGGGATGTGTGATGCGGAGAGTTTGCCAAAGTGGCCACATGGACGCCAGGAGCTTCGGCTTCGACTTGCCCACTTGGAGAAGGCGTGGACAGCGCACACGCGGCTTCCAAGGGTCGGTTTGCTACCACGCGCTCGGTTTGCTACACGAGAGACATGTCATCATGAATCCGCGCAAAGCTTGTCCTTTTCTTGATCGCTCTATAGGACCATGAAGTCGACCATGTTTTTCTGCTCCGCCACGCTGAAGAGGGCGCATATATTCTTGCGGCCATGGCATGGCCATGGCAGGTCGCCCAGCAACAGCGGGAGGAGGCGTCGGCCGCATCGGCGCTGCTGGAAGCAGAGAACCGACAATTGAAGCGAAGCCTGGCAGACAAAGAGGCCAGGGAACCGGGACGACCCGACCCCCACCGGCGAAAAGAGCGATCACCGGAGCGGCGACAGTGGGAAGCGGATGGACGGGGGTGAAGGGGGGTTGTTCTGCATGGACGCGCAGGGCGAACTATGGGATCGGACCACAAGAACTGCAAGCTTAGCAGTGAGCAGCCTTAGCACTGAACGGTTCCCTGTTGGTTTCTTCAGTCCGGGTTTTCCTGTATGTTGAAGACACGCACATGTCGCCATCTGGTCAGAAAGTTCAGTAGCAAAACGTAGGCGAACGATGGCGAACGTGAGTACTGTGTGTGCTCGCTTGTGCACGGTTTGGCTGGCAGGATGAGCTTGTGATGCTCAGCAGTAAGCTTGAACAGCGGACTCTTGGTGGCAGTCGGACTGCCGGTCGGAGTCGCATTCACATGTATGTCGTCGGTCCCCGTGCCCACCAGAACTTACCTCAACTTGGTGTATTGGGCACTCATGGGTAACCTCTGAAAGGTGCCATCGTTGATTTGTCCAAACGAGACTTGCCAGCGGTCTATCGAAACTACGAAATGCTATCGAATTCACTATAGATGTTCAGCTCGGATGAAAAGATCCAACATCCGAGCTGGGACGGATCACAGTCACTCCAGGGCTTCTGCTGTGGACAGCCTGGTGCTCAGTCGACGAGCTGTGTACCAGAGTGGCCTGTCAGTTACAGTACGTGGCACGGTCATCATTTCATGCTTGGGTTATTTTGGGTTCAGGTTGCAATCGGTCGCAATGTAAGCTCAGTTGACTCGAGCGTCACTCCACACATGACCAGATTCTTTTGTGCAATCGAAGATTGTTGATTGAATTGGCAGCCCATGACTTAAGGTGAATTGGTCACTCTGACTCCCAAGCAGGCTGCGCGGATCAAGGCATTCCCAGCGATACATGCAAAAAAATGGTTAGGTGTCCCATCGATGTGAAACCTCAAAACCTTTCGAATAAAGGCCTCAAAGGCCTCCAAGCATTTGCGCAGTGGTTCATCATCTCGACCTGTCCGCGAACCACGGCGAACCTTCACCGATTCCTGACAAATGTGTCGACCGTTCGCAGGGCGACAAAGCGGCCGTCGCAGGAAGCTGACGCGAAGCTCGGCCACTTTGAATCGCACGAGCGTGCAGTGATCGAGGACATTCGCAAGGCACCTGCGGCACAGCGAGTTATTATTATGAGTTATTGTATAAACACATGTGGTAGTGATGTGAACTGTGAAGCTAACATTGACTGACTCAGTGAGTCATTGTGAGTTCACAGTTCTATGATGTTCGTTCTGTGTCGTGTTCACGTGTCTCTTGGTCCAACGGACTGACGGCGCTTTCAATTTACCGGATGTTGAAGGAAGTTCCTGTAGCAGGAAGCATGAAACGTGTCAACCACGTCGCCAATCAAATTTCAGCTTGCAAAAGCGTGGGCGTTTTTTCTATGTGACCACGTCCTGAATGAACCTCGAATCGTCAGGCTAGACTCGCAGATGTAGACGCTGATTCGCTGCCAGAGGAGCTGCGGGCATGGTGGGTTTGCACCATTTGGACGTTTCCAGTGGATCTTTAAGCACTCCAAATGATCGTTGGATATTGTATATACTATATATATATACATCTATATAAGGAAAAGGCAGCTTCCATCCGATGGCATCTCTTGTGTGGTTTCGGTGGTTTTGGTGTGATGAAGGAGTGAGGATCAGTCCACCCCAGTTTTAATCAACAATCCCAGAAGCATCGAATCTCAGTTTCATGATTGTTTGTTTTATGGTTTTTGACGTTCCTGCTCTTGCCATGGCCCTCGCAGTCGCAAAAGCTAGCTTTAACCTGATGTTGTTTGGCAACAGGAGACCATGGGCCGACGAAAAGATTCAACTTCACCCTGACTTGCGGATCCTTATTGACTCATTGACCTCATTTTTGTTGTTATCTCGTCCTCATCATTCCTCAAGTTAAGTCTCGCTACCCTACCATTACCGGTGGGCAGGATCTGAGACGAGGCGTGCTAGAAATGAGACGCTCTCTCACAGCAGCTGTGGATCGCTTGGCCACTGGGCGCCTTTTTTTGGGACGGGAAGGCGGCACAAACTGTGGGTTGGTTCGGTCTGGATGGTATTTGTGCGCCATGATGGGTGAGCCATGTGTAGGTGGAACAGGCAACAGGGGGCCTGGATGGCAGCGGCTTTTGATGTCACTGTGCCATAAAGATCGAAATAGCTCCGCTGCCACGGGTCACGATGCACATTGGACATGATGTTCTCAATTAGGGGATGATGCCCTGGTTTACAGTTTTCTTTGATGTATATATTTGGTCCCCAAATAGATGATATGATGTGTACAGAGTATTTTCTTCAGCAGAAGAATGTAATCATTACATAGATAGAATTCTACAAAACATGTTTTTCCCATGTTGGTGGTTGTGGAGGAAAGAACAGAAAAACCAATGGAGAACACAGCCAAGACCTGGGCCCAACGTGGGCGCCCCACACTGACCTGGTTGGGCCCGGCTCCCGGGCCAAAGTATGTTCGTCGTGTTCCAAGGCCCGAGACCTGTATGAGTCGCAGGCACACTTTCTTCAGGAGAACATCAATCAATGAGTTGCTGTCGCGACTATAGTGACTATAGTGATGCACAAAGAGAAAAACTGAGGCAGCTCCAAAAACATCAACTCTTTGGTGTCCTACTTTTTGGAGGGCATGATTTGATCAACGTGATCCACATGATCCAAGTCTCCGATGATAGCTGGGACTGATTGTACTGTGTATTCACAATAGAGCCTGCGGGCACAGCCCTCTGAAACCTTGCAAAGACCGTTAAAATCCGCCCGCACCAAAGGTGCTGAGGCGTTGTGTAGGCTTCGCGCAAACCGCAAGATAGCTGCTGGATGCTGCTGGATTAATCCGCTTAATAAGCTGTGGCTTGTTGTTTTAATGCTGTTTTGAAGATTTATAAAGAGTGATATCGTGTGTATGATTGTCCGTAGGGCTTCGTTCGCGATGCCGGATATGAAATTTGGGGGACACTGCATTATTGACATCATGGGTGTGTTCGTCCGTGTGTCCTGCCCGACCGAGACAGACAGACACACGCACTCCGTGCGGGCAGCTTCGAGCGCGAAGCGCTGTGAATATGTGTGCACACGATACCGCAGATAACTGTGTCTTGTGTGGAACTGCGTTCGGCTTCTGGTATTTTGGTGCCTGAGTTTTGCTTGAGACTGCAGGAGCTGCTACAGAATGTCCCAAGCTCAGACTTTTGATCGTTGCCTGCTGTTGTTGCTGCGGATCAATGTGCGGACTGTTGGAGATATACTCATCATGCAGACCAGCTTCAGCATGATTTGTCCGGTTGCTTTGCCCTTTCTAAGAAGCAGCATTCCCTCTAACAAGTAAAACACCTCAATCAACTCCTTCTTCCCCTAATGGTTACCGCATTCAGCCAAGCACTGTACCCCAGGCTGACGACAACAACTACACGGAGGGCATTCTGCCGAAACTCGACTTGGTGCTCCGTGGCAGGCAGAAGACTCCGTGGTGCTTCGTGACGGTCGACCGCTCCGGGCGATCGATTTCGGAGGGCACGCAGAATGATAATCCCCTACAGGTCAGTTGGACCTCATTTTACTGCAAAGGGTCATACAAAAGCAATCAAAAGCCCTACTCAATTAGGCAAAGGACCTGGGTTTTTACTGGGTCTTTGGACCTGTAGGGATCGCTTGACATGGATGTGGAATGGGAGGATGACAGTTTTCCTCTACCCAGCGGGGTTATCCATGTCCATGCTACTAGTAGTGAGTCAGAGTGTACATACGGCATACAGCATAATGAATATATGGTTCATATCTCTAACAATGCGTAATGTGTAAACAATGTGTGTCTAATTGTGTCGATGCAATTGTTGACCACGCATCATTGTATATTCACTTTATTATAATATATATTACTATATACAGACACGATGTGGCTACATCAAGAGTTGAATGATGACGGCAAGCTCAACTTGATTGAGTTCAAAGCACCTTTGGGGTTCCATTGTTGGGCTGTTGAGGCCAACAACAACAGCAACAGAATATGTGTTTTGTGTCTACCAGATGATCATCGTTCACAACTTAAAAGCCAAGGCATCTTGGAACGATACAACGGTAGAGCCTTAGAACAGTAGTGGCAGCCCGAGGTACCAAATCATTCTCACAAGCAAACAAAGTCGCTTCGATTGTCATGTGCCCTGCTTGTTGTCACACCATGTCAATGCTTGCAAAAAATCCACTATCACTGTGTTGTCCTGGACTCTTGTAAACCACAACGTGTTCAGTGCAAATCTTGTTTTATGATGTTTCATGCGGTTAAATAGGATGATAGTTCACCCGCGGTTTGTGGGTCAACTCCTTCGTGACCTTTGTCCGGTTGCAGAGTTCTAGAGTGACTCAAAAGAGCAACATTGGAGATAAACCCGCTGGTTTGGGGGATTCCTTGGTGATCCCAAACACGGAAAGTGAATTGTTCCTCCAACCTACTAGCAATGACCTCCCCCCGGCCTCCAACCTACTGGCCATGACCTAATAGCGATGGCCTCCAACCTACTAGCCATGACCTCCCCCCTAATAGCGATGGCCTCCAACCTACTAGCCATGACCTCCCCACTAATAGCGATGGCCTCCAACCTAATAGCAATGACCTCCAACCTACTAGCGATGACCTCCCCCTTAGTGGCAATGACCTCCAACCTAATAGCAATGACCTCCAACCTACTAGCGATGATCTCCCGCCTAATAGCGATGGCCTCCAACCTAATAGCAAACACTCCTTGCTGATTTTGGCTCCGGAAAGTGCCCCATCCAGGCCGCCCGACTCGCACCTGGCACCATATTTCTTTGCAGCCCGGGCCCACAGAAGCCCAACCACAGTGCCACAGTTGGGCAGGAAACGAGGAGATCCTGGTAAAGCAAACAAGGGAGATCCCGCATCGAGGAAACGAGGAGTATTTGCTGGAACTTTGGATCGACAGGAGTTGGTCGTTTGTTGGATCCATGAAACTGTCACAGCGATGTTCTGAGATGTGCTGTTTTATACTTTTTTCTAAGCAGTTGGGTAGCAGTTCGGGGGTCTTATGCTAATAGTTAAGGCCGGGTTTGATCGAGGTGATCCATCGGCGTGTGCGGCTAATTCACTGCTATTTATGGTGCATTCATTCACTTCGAAATCTTCGAAGTGCATTTCGACTGCGCAGCCTCGCAGAATCTGCTCGTTTGCTCTAATTCCATGGCAGATGCAGTGAAGCGTGGTTCACATGTGTGCTGTCAGATGCGTGCTCTTATGTGTGTGTTTGGTCTCATATGTACTCTCATGTGTGCTCTCGCACGCGTGCTCTATATATATATATATATATATGCTCTCATATGTGCCCGACCTGTAGATCTCTAGGTCTACATTAAAGGGTGTTTGTGGATATCTTGGCCATTTAGGATTTCTGACCTAAAGGTCTTGATATCTCCAAACAGCTCTACGCCCTAGATATCCGCCGAATCTTTGAATTTTTCTGACCTCTAGATCTCTACATCTCTAGGCCTTTGGATCTCTCTGGATCTCAAGACCTCCCTGGATATCAAGCCCTCTAGACCTCGCGATCTAACTAGACTTCTACATCTCTAGAGCCCAATACCTTAAACCTCAGACCTTAGGATTATGACAGTGGTTTTTATTGATTGAAATAAGTTCACCTGGAAAAAAGTCTATTGTTACACAGGAGAAAGTTCGGTCTTTTCTTGCGGAGCAGAAAATCAAATCTATCATTGCAACCTACTAGACAAGCAGGCTGATTATGTGGAGGGGTAAGTTACTGCAAGTTTATTGTTGCAAACAGTTGATTTAAAAACATATAAAAAACATGTTTGTGTTGGCAGGCATTCACAATTGTATGTTTGTTATCTTCGCGAGGGGTACTCTTTGCAGAGATGTGTTTTATTTTTTAAGTGAATTTTAAATGTTGAGCTAGGCCCACATTGATTTTCCTGAGACATTGTAATTGGTTATGCAGTGTTTAAACTTATTAACCAACTATGTTTAAGAGGTTTTACCGTCAGTGTATTTTGGTGGAGGAGTAAGTCAAGTTCAAAATTGTATTGACAGTTTCTCAATATGTTCCATTTTGTTTGTACAATATGTTGTATTAAGTTTATACGTTTTGTGGAAACATTGGCTTATAATATTAACTGACCGACTCCCTATTCTCACCCTACTGAAAAAGCGGGTTTATTGTGTTGAAAGTCGCTGATTATTGCATGATGTCGGTAGCCAGGATATTTTTAGGTTTATGATTGGCTCGTGGTTTACTATTGTGATGTGAACATTATTGGATACGTGAGTTTGCCAATGATGTAAGAACACGCGAATTCGCATGTTGGATCCATCAAAAGATGCATTCATACACATTATATATATTAATATATATGCACAAGTTTTGTCCGTTTTCCCAATGACCCAAGTGGTACACCTCCCCGACACCGAGGCCAATAACGAGGTTGGCTTGACCGAGGCCTTTCCGGATTCGTTGGCGCCGAGCCCACCGAGCTGTCCAACCGTGTCCGGTTTCGGTCGGAGCCGATCGAGAGGTGGATGTGCGCGCTTTGTGCGATATCTCGAGGTCTTCAAAGACACAGGCTCGCGATGTTGAGTGGAACAATGTCGCACAGGAAATTGGCAGAGTTTGGGACCCCTGCGGAGGGGCAGTGCTTCGCGTTCCTATGAACCATAGATGCTGTTTGGTGGTTCCCCCCGTTAAGGTAAAACCTTTGCATATATATATATAGGAAGCAAAACGTGAAGATACGTGAAGTTTCATGTCAGGCTGGGACGACCACGGGCTACAAAGGAGTGGGCTGGAAATCCGTCTTCCGCGTGTGCGAAACGCCCCATGTCCCTGGCCGAAATTGCGTGTTTGTTGGGATGTTGTTCAGTGGCGAAAAGCCAGACAAACAAAGTTTTGGAGGGAGGCCCTGTTTTGCTTCCTGGATCCTAGATACCTCAATCATTAGATGTTGGATGATATAGAAAGGACATTGAATATGAGATTTGAACAGTGTTGAACATATATGTGTTTGAGATGTAGCATTTCGCTTGGTAATGTTTCGTCTAAATGTTCCCATGTTTTGCTTGTTTGGCAAACTCGTCTCCCCGCAAACTGTACAAACTGCGACACATCAAGACACCTCGAAGGGTGAAGCCGTGCCGGGTCCAAGGTGCTATCGCAGAAATGGCGTTTCAGATTCTCATCCAGTGGATTGGGCATGTCACTCGGCAAAAAATACATTATTTGTTAACTGCGCTATGTCTTTTCACGAAAGCTAGCGAAGCTAGCTGGAGTTACTCTTGCGATAGCAAGGTTTCTTTCGACCGGGTGCAAATCCTAACCCCTGATTTTTCAAGTCGAAGACCCCCCCCCTGAAAAGTAGAGCCTACCTGTACAGGGTTCCACTCCAACAGCTGATATAGTGTGTCCATGCTTGACTGCTTCAAGGCTCAAGAGAGGGTCAATGGACCTAAAGAGCAAGAGGATAAGACTCTGCGCATAAAAGACACTAGCGGTCTGCACCTCTACCGTGTACGCCCTAGTCACTCTTTCAGTGGTAGCGGAGCAGTGATCCTGGAAGACCCAGGTGAGCTCCTTTCCTAGGCATAGACTTGCTAGTGGGCAAACGGCCATGGATTGGATTGACGACTGGGAAGAGCCTGATGCGGATGTGGCTTATGAGCCAGCAGCCTACGTGAATAGGCATGTGAGAAGAGAACCAGCAGCAATAGCAATGACAACACAGGTCACTACAAAGGTGCCCCCATCTTATGATGGAAAGACTTCATGGTTTTCCTATGAGGATGCCATAGACGATTGGTGTGATATCACCGAGCTGGAAGATGAGAAGAGAGGACCAGCTTTGAGAAACAGATTAGAAGGAGAAGCAGCAGTATACAAACGTGTATTAGACAGAGATTCATTGAAGGCTAATGAGCCACCAGGAGCAGGAGTAGATTACTTCAAACGAGTACTACGACCATATTTCGTGAAAGGATCAACCAATGTATTCCTATACAGGTTTATGCAATTCGTGCGATTCAATCGAGGATCAGCTGACATGATGAAATGGATGACAAGATTCCAGATTTTACTCCAAAGGCTTATGAGCAGTTGGATGGACATGTTAGAACCAGTCACTCAAGCACATCCCCAAGTCCTTGCTCAGATGCAGGCAGATGCAGCGTTGACTGGAGTAGCACCAACGGCAGAAAGGATTCAGGAAATCATGCAGAATGTCAATGGCAATATGAGAATTCTTCATCAGAATGATTTTCCTTTAGGAGAGAATCTCATTGCCCTACTCATGCTGTCCCTTGCAGATTTGTCTCAGGACCAGCGAAACACTTTGACTTCGTTGATGACTCATCGTGGCAGGTACCTGCAGCAATACACTACAACAGAGCTGAGGACAGTTTTCATCGAGATGTTCTGCACGACAAAGACTTCAGTAGACAATCCATTGATGCAGCCGACAGGTGCTGGAGGTAGAAGATCATTTCTCGTACTAGACGAAGGAGAACTCGATGGTACATTTGGCTATTGGGCCGAAGATGAAGAAGATGGAACAGAAGGATTTTTAGATGCCCTGGACGATGTCTTTTGGGTATATGATGATCAAAACTTCTCGTGGTTCCAAAGGAGATTCCAAGGAAGAAGAGCCAGAAAAGGCAAAGGAAAAGGTAGAAGGAAAGGAAAAGGAAAAGGAAGATCAGGCCGTAGATTCTTCAGACCTCGTGGAAAAGGAAAAGGAAAGAGACGAGGTAAAGGCCATTTTGCTGATGAGCAACAGACAACATATCCAGAAGAGTACTTTGAAGAGAATCCTTATGAGGATACTTGGGAGTCAAACCAAGTAGCATATGATGCCATTCTTGCCGAGGATATGAATGACTATCTTCAAGGAGAATATGATGATGCCAATGACTTCTGGCAACAGCTTGAAGAAGCATGGTTTTCCCACAAGGGAAAAGGAAAAGGCAAGAGAAAAGGCAAGAAAGGACAAGGAAAAGATAAAGGAGATGGCAAACAAGATGCAAACTATGCAAATCAACAACAGCCACGTTCTTTACCTGCACCTTCAAGAACTTCACAAGCATCAGGAGGTCAACAAGGTTTCTTTGCACATTGTGTGACAGCAGCAGCTGAAGTCCATGACAGTGAGGTGGACTTGCTGTCAGGCATGATGACCTCATGCCAAGATGAAGCTGACTGCGTGGTCAACAATGGTGAGACGATCTTCGATGACATGAGTGCCCCTGTGAGGTACTCGTTGTCAAAGGAGATGCTCACAAAGGCTCCTGATGGCTTTGCGCTTATGAGCGCTGATGGCTTTGCGCTTATGAGCGCTGAGGAAGAAGTGAAGGAGATGCAGGCTATTTCATTTTTGACTGAGAATCGCTTCCCGCCAACTATTGCAATCCTGGACATTGGATGCACTAGAGCTATGGGATCAAGGCGAGCAGTCGACCATTTTTGCAACTATGTCGACAATCACCCAGATTGTGGATTATGGTACTCTTTTGAGTCTACCAAGAGCAAGTTTTACTTTGCCAATTCCCAGAAGGCTACTTGCTCTCAGAAACTGGTGATTTATATGTATGATCGTGCATGGACGATCCACCATACAGAGTTCGACATAGTGGAAGAAGGAGAAGTCCCTTTGCTTATGAGCTTGCCACAGATGAGGAACTTAGGCTTTGAACTCAGGCTGACACCTCAACATGCTTATCTGACATCGGTGCCTCTTGGTATCAAATTTTTGGAGTTGAAGGTTGCAGCCAGTACTCATCTTGTGTTGGACTTCCAAGATATTGCATGGTATCTGTCTGACGTGCGTTGGCAGACTCAGCGTGAGAAGAGTTTTTACTCTCACCTCACTCACTATGAATATGGCCATATTTCTGTTGAACACAATAGTGATGAAGGTGAAGCTGAGCATGCATATCCTGTGGTTGATTTCTGGGAAGTAGATGTTCACAAGAGAGAACTGATACGTCACCACAAGGATTACAGGAAAATTCTTTTCCCAGCAACTAAGTCCTGTCCTGTAGACACTGACTTGCTGGAAGACTTGCGACTGACAATCATCAAGAAGAAAGCAGGAGGAGAAGAAATCAAGAAGACAGATGATTGGCGCAAGGCAAAATGGAAGGACCTACAACTTGGCTATGAATGGCGTGGTAGAACAATTTTTAAATTTAAGCCAGATGCCAAAATTCCAGATCTAAAGATCAGGAAGGCTGGCATTGAGCACCGTGGCATTGGTGATCCCGATGCAGTGGTGCGCTCCTCCTCAGAGAAGGTTCCCATTGCAAAGGACAGGGAACCAGGCTTCTCGTCAGAGGAGGAAGGTGCACCATCCAGTGCCGCGGAAAAGCCCGTGCCGCCAAAGTTCCGGTATACTTCCAAGGGTTTTGATCCATTTTGGAAAGGACACAAGTCGAAACCATCTGAGCCTCAGAATGATTTAAAGGGTGATGATCTTGAGGAGTATGCTCCTTCAGAACCACCTGAGAGGCCAGAAGGTGAACTTGTAGAAATTCCTAAAGCATCAAAAGGACCATCAAGTGATAAACATGAACCACTTGAACCAGGTGATGGCGCTCTTGAGCCTAGGCGGATTTCAATCCCATTACCTGGTAGTGAAGTTGTTGCAATGACACCGGCATATAGGAAGATGTTACAGAGACTGGAGGACAAGGTAGAGCTTTATAAGCTTCATGTGAAGCACTACCATATGAGTCCTACTCAGTTTCGTAGACGTGTTTCTATGTTGAAGCTTCCTGACTCTGTTTTAGAGAAGTATGAATCAGTTGTCAGGAACTGCCGTGTTTGTAACACTTCAGTGGCACCTCCGCCACGAGCCAGAGTCTCCGGTATTAGAGCTTCATGTTTTGGTGATGTTGTTTTTGCTGATCATTGTGAGGTTGAACTTCACAAGAGCAAGTATATCATCTTACTTGTTCTTGATGGTGCCACAAATCTTCTCTGGGCTACGGCACAGAAAGACCTCATAGATCAAACCACCATCCAAGCATTGAGGCAATGGTCTGATGAGAACAACTGTGTTCCAAAGGCCATCGTAGGAGACGAAGCCTTTTTCACCGATGCTTTTGTTGAATACTACAGGTTCCATGGTATACAACAATGTCCTTGTGGGCCAAGAACTCCTTGGCCGAACCGAGCAGAGACAGCTGTACGTTTGTTCAAACGTATGTGGCATGTTATGAAGGTAGATCTGGATGACCCACGTTTTCGTGGTGTTACGGTCAGAGAAGTGGTCAAGAAGGTAGTTTGGGCAAGAAATTGTCAGTTGACTATCAGTGGATATTCACCAATAGAGATAGCAACTGGAAGACGTCCACCAGATCTTTTTGACCTTGAGACCGCAAGCCCTGAGCAATTGTTAGCTAATGCCGCCGCACAAGATCGTACAAATTTGGAACTACAACGTGTGGCTTTGAGAGCTCATCAAGAAGCACGACAAGCTCAGGACCTTCGAGCAGATCTTGCAAGAAGGACTATGCCAAGTGACGGTCCTTATTTCCAAGGAGAGAAGGTTTTTGTTTGGACTCAGGATTCATCAAAGTTCAAGGATAAAGGACGTTGGGTTCGTGCCACAGTACTTGGACAAGAAGGAGCTATGGTCCAAGCCAATACTGGTAAGGCAGTGATACGTGTGAATCAGTCAAAGGTTAGACGTGATCACGATGAGTGGCATGATGTTTCCATTCCGGCATTAGACGATGAGAATCCGGAGAACTTACGTGAAGATCACGAACTGTATGTTGATGCCGAATTCGGAGAACAGTCCTTTTTCTTCTGTAATGATGATCATCCTGATGTTGTTGAGTTACTTCATGGAAACAGTGGATTATCTTGGTTCCTTTCAAAGAATGGTGTTAAAGTTGCATCTCCTATGGATTTCAAGGCAGGATACAACTTTTCCACTATGAAGGGTCAAGATGGTATTTGGCAGCAACTGGAGAGATTGCAGCCCCACTGTATAGTGATCAACAACCCTTCTCCCAAACAGAACAGAGCTTCTATTTGGTTGCTATGTTGTAATGTGATTGAGTGGCAGTTGAGAAGGAAGAAACATGTGTTTGTGACTGTTCCCAAAGGAAACAAGTTTTGTTTGTTTTTGCAGAAGTTCATTTCTTCGTTGAAGGATCCGATTTTTAACTTTGATGTGAATATGAATTGTTTTTGTTATT